CCATTCTTCCATCAGCTTTAGGAGTGGAGGAAAGGCAGAGGGAGGATTGTTGAGGGTCTAACCACGCTTGCCTTTGATGTATGCCTAGAGAGTCATTGGCTGCAGGAGAGAACCCCATTTTCCTTTGCCCGAGACTGTGAAGGACAGAATTATTGCCATGTTTGCTCTCTATCGTGGAGCTAATATAAAAATCAAGATTCATTCTTCTCCCTTCTTACAAAGTCAAATCTGCCATTTTCATATTTTGCTGCTCTGTTTTTTAAAGTTTGGGGGCTAGGTGTTTTGGAAGGAAAGCTAATGGACAAAAAGTAGACTGGATGTTTTGTCTGGAGAGCATTTTTATAAAGGATAACCTTTTAGGATAGTAACTCATGGCTATGTCTCTCATAGTAGAGCGGAAAGAGCTTGGAATAAATATTTTGGCTCTGAACGGTGACCTGATTGCTCTGAATCTAAATACAGTGGAAAGGGAGTATATAAACTAAAGTAATTGCTTAGCTTGAAGGCTGACAGTGTCTCCCCAGGCATTACGTCTGAATTAATTGTAAGCCAGTAGAGCAATATATAATTGTATATTACATAATCTAATATAGTCATATTAAATATAGAACTTCAGAGATTAGAATGCATTTTTAGGGAGTTGTTTAAAAAATTTCTTCATATTCTTTTATGAATATATGAATTGATTATGAAAAAAATATGTACTTCAGACCAAACTTCAAATCTTCCTCTGATGGAAATTTGAAATGGTTTGAAAACATCTCTGAATATTTCAATTAGTCTCCTAAACTGTTTTAAGCTATATCCAATTTCTTATAGAACAAAGCAGAAGGTTTGTAAATACAGAATAAAATAAGACAAATTACTTTGGGATCACCTCTCATTCTGGATTCAGTAGCATCTTTTGTTCTTTCTGTCAAAGCCTCTGTTAATATTAAGTCTCCACACGTGCCAGAAGCTTTCCAGTTCCTAATTCCCAACAAAACCTTTGCTTGCTGGGTTTGATCCACTAAGAAAAAATGAAAACAGTACTTATCTCTTTAGGATTCTGATGAATTCAGACTAGACTATTTCATTGGTGAATTCTGTGGGGTTTTCTAGGATTAAGTATGCTTAATGCAATTTGTACTCCCTTATGTGTGATTAGCATAATTTTTGAGCCTGGCATTTCCATCTAGAAACCAGAATCAGTTGAAGAGCTAAGAGTCCAACAACTCAACTTCAATAAATTTTATGACTACTCTCCATTAGTTTTTATTACTTATTCCTAACTGTAAGGCCTTTACATTTGCAATTCTCCTTGCCAGGAACACTCCTTTCCTAGATCTCGCCTGGATGGGTCCTTTTGCTGTTCAGGTTTCTATCCAAAGGCCACCTCCTCAGGAAGGCCTCCTTGATTGTTCTAACCAAAAGCAGCCTCTTCCAGCATTATCACTCTACCATGTTTTATCTTCTTCAAAGCCCTTGTTGCTTTGTGAAATTATCTTGTTGTATTATTATCATGAGGATTATCATTATTATTATTCTAACAATAAGAGTTAACACAAGTTGAGTTTTTTCCGTATACCTTACCCAAGTCCTTGTATTTAATACAGCATTTTAATAATGACAGCTAGTGTTTATGGAGTACTCACGACTCACCAAATGCTAGACAAAGCATGTACCACACTAGGCCAGGCCACTGCCTTGCTGCGCCGACTGGTGCAGGGGCTTCTTGACTCTCCTAGCTTTTCCCATTTTAGCTTCTTGCGGTTTGCTGCCCACAGAGCAGCTAGTGATCTTCCTAAAACATAAATCAGCTTTCAACAGCAGCAGGCTTTCGGGCATCTTCAGGTCCTAACTAGTTTACCAGGCCCGGTGGGATCTGGCCCCTTTTACCTTCCTGCCCTGTCTCTAACCTCTCCTGACCTCTGACCTCTGACCCCAAATCACACTTCCCTCAGTGTGCCGTCCAGCCACACACGGCTCCGGTCTCACTCTGCTCAGATCTCTGCTGAATTATTACTGCTCACAGAGCCCTTTCCCAAGCACATCATGTAAACAAGCAAGCAAGCACTTTCCATCCCCTTCTCATGCTTCATTTCTCGCTGCTGCTCAACATTGCTTTACTCATTTTCCTGCCCTCAGCAAATCTTTTTTGAATGTTTACCACATTCTGGGCCCTGTTCTAGGCACTGCATACACGAAGTCAGCATGATGAGTGAAGTCCCTATTGATGCTGGAGATATTAGGGGCAGGCATGTAATAGACTCAAGAAATAGGTAAAATACGACTATGTTGGATGCTTCGGGAAAACTGAAGCAGAGGAAAGGCTGGGGAGTGCTGGGGGTGGGGTAAGTTTAAACTAGGGCTGCCAGGAGAGGCTTTGGTGAGCCACGAGCCTTACCAAGTCCTGAAGCAGGTGAAGGAGTGAGCTCTGGGAGTGACTAGAGGAAAGCGTGTTCTGTTCTGCTCAGAAACAGATCGTGTTTGCGGGCTCTGGAGGAGGAGTGGCTCTAGCATGTTTGAGGAGCGATGGGGAGTGAGCAGTGGGGAAAGGGGCTGTGGCCAGAGAGGTGACGGGACACCAGGCTGTAGCATTCACAGGCCCTCCAGGTCTCAGCCTCGCAGACTGAACAGAGGAGCAGCCTGAGCTGACTTACACGTTAACTGGACCCCCTTGGGCCCTTGTGTGGAACACGGACTTTAAGGGAGCAAGGGTGGAAATAGAGGTCACTTAGCGCAGGAGAGATTGGAGCGGCTTGGGGTCAGGGTGGCAGGGCAGAGATGGGGAGAAGGGATTGTGGTCTGAATGTATTTTGAAGGTCAGTCCTATAGAATATCCTAAGAAACTGAGAAATAGAGTGATCAAGAATTCCTCATTCCAGGGTTTTAAATCCAGGCCACTGGCACAGTGGTGATGCCAATACCAAGATGGGGAGGCAGTAGGGGAACAGATGGAGGGTGTAGGGAGGGCCACAAGCAGGACCCAGATGACATTATAGAGCCTATGTGGGCATGAGAAAAAGGGTCCCCCTCTGGGCTGATGCAGTTGGAGCCAGCCATGTGGGCTGGATTTCGGGCCCTATTCCTTCTCCATCTTCGAGCAACTGTAGGCAGTAGCATCGATCAGATTACGTTTGGGACATGCCTCCAGGGAGGTGCTGACTGAGCAGCTGGGTCTGGAGTTCAGGGAGACATAGAGACTCCAGGTGTACCAGGCGCTGTCACGTGAGCATTCCTGGTGAGTTCATCTTTATATATGTGTTATGTTGTATATTAGAAGCGCTTTACTTACCTTTTCATTATCTATGTCGTTATGCAAGCTTGAAGTGATCCACGTCTTGTTTTCTGCTTCATTGTATTTACACACCTAGCTCAGTAGCTGGTATCTGAACACTTAATAAATGTGGTTAAATAAATAAACTAACCGGGGAGACCATTGCTTTATCCTGGTCCTGGATTGCCTGAGATTGAGGGCATGGTCAGGTTTATGTGTCAAACTATACGTCAGACATTCCCATTCCCACTCTTTACCTAAAGCCCACGGAGAGATTTTCTGTAACCTCCACCTTTTAATACCATTTACTACACGGCTGCTGAAAGAAAATTTAAGTTCCAAGTGGACTTTACATTTATGAATGTCGCCATGCATCTAAATGATGGGAAAACCTAAAACAAAAGCTTGGTTTAGATAAATTCCTTTCATAGTAACTTCTGAGCTTCTGATCTATTCTTGAGGGGACTACTAATACTTTCCTTTTATATCTAGTTTTGTTTGTTGGTGAGGGTTCCATTTTTACTTATTCTTTGGTATATTGAAGATGAGAGTTCTATTTTTCTATCTTATGAAATGATTAAAAAAAAAAGGGTGCCTTCATTTCAGCGTTTCCTTGCATTTAAATCCAAGACTGGGGAAAATACATGTCTTGGACCCCAGCATTTTTATGTTGAACGGTCAGTGATGGCTTTGCTCAAGAGTCGAGGTTTAAACTGGGCTATGTAACAGTTTGTTATTGTCTATAGTAACAGATTATCCCTAAACCCGCTGACTTCAAATAATAAACATTATTGCTCACAAGACTCTGGTTCAGGGGCGCCTGGGTGGCTCAGTGGGTTAACCCTCTGCCTTCTGCTCAGGTCATGATCTCAGGGTCCTGGGATCGAGCCCCACATCCGGCTCTCTGCTCAGCAGGGGATCCTGCTTCCTCCTCTCTCTCTGCCTGCCTCTCTGCCTACTTGTGATCTCTCTCTGTCAAATAAATAAATAAAAATCTTAAAAAAAAAAAAAAGACTCTGGTTCAGGGGTCTTGACTGGGCCCACTCATGCATTGGGTCAACAAATGCTGCTTATCTTGGTTGGGCTCTCTCATATCTGGGGTTGTAGGCTGGTCTGGCATGGTCCTGGCTGGGACATTTGGGCTCTCGTCCTGCAGTAGGCTGGACAATGTTTACTCATATGGCAGTGGCAAGATTCCAAGAGCAAGACTAAAAATGCCCAAAGCTTCCTGAGGCCTCAGCTTGAAACTGGCAGAGCATAATTTTGACCACGTTCCATTGGTCCAAGCTTGAGATGGAGAGATAGACTCTACTCCTGATGGAGAAGCTGCAAGGTCATAATGCTAAGAGTATGGGCTTGGAGGGACTATAAATTGGAGCCATTAATCTAATGGCTTGGAGGATAAATAGGATTTGGAAGAAGGATGTGAAGCAACTAGTGTGAACTTCCTCTGATCTAAAGAAAAATGTGCCTTGACTGCCCGCATCCCACCTCCTTAATATCTGGAAAACACATGAAGCATAAGCTTCTCCGCTGACTTGTGGGTTTTAACACTTGAACTGTTCTCTTTCTCTCAGAGAAGAGTGTCTCATGGAAAGTGCATCTATAATTGTCTTGAGGAGCTTTCATGGAAGACATTAAGTTGGTTTGCAAGGCAGCTGGCACATGGCCATTTTACTTGCATAGTTATCTTGATCATGTTGGCATCTCCACAAATAATCATTATACCCTTCTCTTGTAGGATTATGCCCATATTTTGACCTGTATAACTGAAAGAGAAAAGTTTATTGTACCCATCAAAGCTAGGGGTGCACGAGCCATCCTAGACTTTCCTGACAAACTGGATTTTTCCACTTGCCCTGTCAAATACAGCACTCAGAAGATTCTGCTGGTACGAAACATTGGCAACAGAGATGCTGTGTTTCACATGAAAACCCACAGGTATGCATTCCTCTAGTTCTTGTTTTTGATTGATTATAGCTAAATCTATTCAGCACAGGTAATTTGCTAGAACAAGTAGTCAGGGTGGAACTGCTTGTTATAGTCTTCAGTCACAGGGCCAAGAGACCTCACCGATACAGGGCCAACTTCCTCTTCATTCCAAGAGGAAACTAAAATTCAAGAATCACTTGGGGTTTGGGTATGGGTGGTTTTTTGAAATGTTAGTACAAATCTTTTTATTTAGCATAGAGAACGGCCCATGGAAATCCATTAGTAAATATATCCAGTCTTTCTAGGTATTTTCAGGTTATCTATTCTGCCATACTGTAGGTACTAGGGCTGCTGGGGATGTGGGTGGAGGGCACATTCCTTGGGGGGGGAGTTTGTGTTTAGTCTTTACAGGAATGTCCCAGGAGCATCACTATCTCTGAATAGTTTCATGTAGACCTAAGTTTATCTCTGGATTCCTATTTCTTCTGGCTGAAATATTACTTTTAGTATTTCTTGTAGCACAGGTCTATTGGAAATTCTCTTCATTTTGTCTACTTGAAACAAAGCATTTTGCCTTCATTTTTTTTTTATTTAAAAAAAATTTTTTTTTAAGATTTTATTTATTTATTTGCCAGGGAGAGAGAGAGAGAGAGAGAGAGAGAGCACGAGCACAGACAGGCAGAGTGGCAGCAGAGACAGAGGGAGAAGCAGGCTCCCTGCCGAGCAAGGAGCCCGATGTGGGACTCCATCGCAGGACGCTGGGATCATGACCTGAGCCGAAGGCAGCTGCTTAACCAACTGAGCCACCCAGGCGTCCCTTTGCCTTCATTTGTGAGAAATATTCTCTACAGTTTAGAATTTTGGGTTGACTGTTCCGTATACACGTCATTTGTTTCAGCAGTATAAAGGTGGCATTTCATTATCTTTTGGCTTACATTTTTCTTATGAGGTCTCTGCCAAAACTCTTTGTTCCTCTAGATGTAATTATGTCTTTTTTTGTGGGCTGCCTTTCAGATTTGTCTTTATATTTGGTTTTTAGTAATTCAAATAAGCTATGTCTAGGCATGGGGTGTTTGTTTTTTTTTTTGTCTTTTTTGTTTGTTTTTTGTTTTAAGGATTTTGTTTTGTTTTTGTTTAGTTTTGGTTTTCATCCTGAGTTTCCACACTTGCTACATCTTTCGTTATTTTTGGAAAATCTTAGCCATTATCTCTTCAAACACTAATTCTGTTCCATTCTCTCTTGCACTTTCTTCTGCCCATAGGGAAGTTCTGTCTGCTACCAGTAAAGCGGTCTGCACCTTTCCCTCTCCCTTGGGGGCGGGGGGATTGTCCATCTTCAGATTTCAGTTTGCTCATTTGCTCTGCAATGTCTGCTTTCTGATTCGCTCCAGAAAAGTTGTGATTTTGTGTTTACCTGCTTTTTTTTCGTTGTTAGGGTGGGCAACCTCCTTCTAGCTTTCTGCATCCCAGGAAGAAGCAAGACCGCTTGAACTCATTTAGCTAAATCAATCAGCAAAGATAAAGTTGTTTTGAAGATCATTGTCTTTTGACCTTGTCCCTAAGTGCTTATATGGCCTTTGTCATCTCCTGGTGAGATTCACAGAGTTTGAAGGAGTAGGAAGCAGGTTAACTGGCTTGCCATGACTTACGAAAGAACGAATCTTTTTGGATTTAAAAAAGTCCTCCCACAACCACTTTCCATAATACACATTAAAAACTTACTGTTATACTCATATTTTTCCTATGAAAAAGAAAATCCACCTCAGGTGGAAAAACAAGAGCAGGCAGCATATCTTCCTGGACTGAGGCTGAATCTTAAAAGCTACCTATAATGGCAGTTTACTCTTTATTACCTTCATACAAAAGTGAAGTAAAATCACTTCATAGATGTCATAGCGTGAAGTTGCCGGAAGAGGTGTAAAACTTTTCTGCCCATGTAACTATGAATGTGAAACATCTTCTAATACAGAAATACTTCCAAGGTAAAATAGTGAGCCAACTCAAGGACTAGCTAGGAATCATGAAGCCATTAGAAACTCTAGTCCGACATTCTCATTTTACAGATGAAGGAAATAAGGCCCAAGAGGGGAAATGACTTATCCAAGTTCCTTCGTGAACTAACACCAAAACCTGGATCAGAACAAACATGGGCCAGTTCTGGGCTTACTTACCCTCGGATCCACTCCTTCCCTTTCCCAGGCTTCATTCAGTATCTCTCCGCAGTTAGCTTTCCTAGCTGCCTCAGCGGAATTCCAGCTGACTTTGACTACTGCAGGGCACTAGAAGGAGAATGCAGAGTAACAAGGGGCCGGGGCATTTCTCCTCCACCCTCTCTGCCTTCAGCAGAGGCCCCAGCAGAGGCTGCATCTCCTGTATGGTTCTGATTCCTGTCAGCCTAGCCTGCCCATGGTTCCAACTTCTGTCAAGTTCCCATGATCTGATAACACTTCCTCCTCCTCTTGTCTCCAGCCCAGGGGTGAGAATCGCTAACTGCTGTTACTTATCCCTGAGAGATCTTGTCATCTTAAATTGGGCTTCTTATTTCTCTCATCTTCTGGACAATCTCTCAATTCAATTTGTTTGCAAATATTTTTGCTTTCCTGTTTAGGTATCTTATCTATTCATGATAGAGTAGTTCTATGTTCTTTCCACAAAATACATGTTTTCTAAGCATGCCATCATTTCTTTGAGCTACCCCAAATCCTTCCAGTAAATCCGTTTTCTGTTTAAGTTAGCCAGAGTTGGTTTCTGTTGTTTGCAACTGAGAACCCTGGGGGCTGCAATGAGAAAGGATGTAATTGAACTTGTGGTCACATTGTATTAAATCACAATCTTCAGGGAGATGCGTCCATTCTAAAAAAAAGTGCACAGTGATTGTGTTGCCCCAAAGGTGAGGACCACTCTTTCAGTTAATATGATTGCCAACATGGTAGAGCAATGGATATATTGTGAGATTTTGGAGTAGAAAACCCAGGGTCTGCTCTTACTCTGATCACTTTAAGAGTCAATGCACAGAAACTCTATCTCATGGGAAATTATTTTAAAAAATCATATTCTTTTCATTGAAATAATGATTGAATTAATGGTTAAGCTTATAAATGGTTAGGTTCATATAAATTATAAAAAATAAAATGTTCTTTATATGTCTGTTGCCCCCATTAGAATGTGAGTTTCTCAAAAGCAAGGGTTGAATCTGTTTTCATTTCTATTTTCCCTTCATCAACTATAATGCCTAGAAGAATTAAGTGCTCAATAAATGTTTATAGGATGCCTAACCAACAGTATATCACAAGGCAAAGCTACAACTATAAACCCATACAATAATTTAAAATAAAAAAAAATGGTCCTAGTACTATAAAATAGGCATAATGTTTTTACGCTAATAAAAGGAGTCTCAGTGTGCTATAAAATATACAAAGAATATAAACCATTACTCTTCAAGTTTATTGCAGATTTGACCTGAAACTAGTAGGTACCAGAATAATTCTGACTATTAAAGTGGGATTAATTTTGGAAGGTGAAATAGGAAAGATGAAGAAGCAGTCTCAAAATCCAAAACCTTATGTCAGGAATCAGTTAATAAGAAAGATTGTCTGAAGAAAGCATACTAATATTAAATTCCATATTTAATATAACAGAGCCAGTATTCAGCCTTCTGCTAAAATATCGATTTGTAAGGATGGAAAAGTTTTAGTTCTCAAGAGCAGTTTACAGTGGGTTGAGCAAAAAACTCAAAATCTTTTTTGTGGCTCATGATTTTTCACGAACCCGTTTCCTCCCTAATCAAGCATTCGGTAATAATGGGGCTATTATATCAAAACCAAACATTTTGGTAGACAGAGCCAGCTCTATGTCCTTGAGAAACAATGCCTTTTACTTCTTTGTTAAGAGTATTTTCTGATTCTTGATATTTTCTGGCCGGTTCAGCCTGACTGCCTGTAGTAAAATGAAGTACAAAATCAAATTATGGACAATGTTTAAGTGCCAGAACTTAACACACTCTACCCAATTAACATCTGATTTATTGAGAAAGCTTAGGCAGCTCTAAGTAGCAATGGTTGTCCCAGGTGTTTTGTTTTTTTGACTACTGAAGAAATTTAGTGTAATATAAACCCAACAGTGAGCACAACAGAAAAGTATCTGTTACTTCTGTATAGAATTTGGATTTCTGGAGGTCCTAGAGAAGGATCTCTTTGTCCATAGAAAATTAGCTTAGGTTCTACGTGCAATACCATCCAATTCATTTCAAAACTGTTCTTTTCGCTACCAAGAAATGTTTGAAAAGAAAATGAAAGCGCCGTGTAGGAAGAAAAAATATTAGGACCCAGGGAAGCAAAAATAGAAGAAAATATTACAACATTGTTCCCAAAGTCAGGAACTTTGGGAAACTAGGCCCGGTTCTCAGTTCTTAAGATTCTTACCAACACCATCAGGGACCAAAAGGAACTTTTAAGACTGTGAGCCTTACTTTGGATCTCCTACCTTCATCTCAGGAAGCAGAGATTCTTGAGATGCTAAAAGTCTGCTCCTTTTCTGTTCCACCAAAATGTTATAAAGGTGACTTAATGACTACAGATATTTTTATTTCCCTCTGAAAGTTGGTTGTAATTCAATCCACAACCTCTTCTGAGAGGCGTCTTTCAGTAAAGAACTGTGCATAGGGTGAGAGACACAAAGATGTATCTCTTCAGGTGGCTTCAATGTTCAGGCATGGTTTTGGGAGGCAGAGAGAACTTGAACTTGCAGGCAGGCTTCTAACCCTGCTCCACGGCCACCTCGTTGGGTAACTTTGGGCCAGTTGCCTGCCCTTTTAAAGCATCTGTTTTCTCATATCTAAAGTGGAAATAACAATACTTCCTTTCTGCAGATTTTCCCCAGGATTAAGAGGATTGGCATACAGAAGGGACCCAACATAGTTAGGGCCCGGTGTGGAGTTCGTGCTCATGGCAGCTTATTTGCTTTCCCTTTCTTGTTGTCTCAAGAGTCTGTAGCTGCAGATATGAGCGGGTGTGAAAACTAACTCTAGTACAAGGTGAACTGAAGTGAGAAGTAAAAAGAAAGTTCAAGCCTCTGAGGAAGGAGACTTTGTTAACAAGACAGAATCCAGGAAGATTCTAGTTAAGAGGTGCCTTTGAGTCTGGGCAGTGATAAGTGACTTTGGAGGCATTAGGACCTGTGGAAAATGCTAAATATTCTTGTGGGAGCCTAGCAGCTGGGGAATGTCTGTGCAGGGGGCGCGGTCTGGTTGGAACAGAGAGGGGGCGATGATAGGTGAGGTTATGGTGAAGGGAGTGGAGCCCTCCCACCCTTTCCTTCTCCAACTGATTTGGAATGTGACAGATAACGTGGGACATTTGGACAGACGTTATGTGTTTAATGAAAATGTAAAATCTGGTTGGGAGCAGATTGTGTGGAATCTCAAATGCCTAGGACTTTGAGCTTTATTACTTACATTATGAGGACCACTGGAAGTGTTGAGATGCATGTGTTATGACCTATAGATGTTTTTTATGGTATCCCTAGAGCAATGTGAAGGATTGAGAGGAGAATAATAAAAACTTGAACTCATTTGAACACCCAAGATCACCCTCAGGCTCATCATCCATCTGGAGGCTGCCAGTGATGGAGATAACAGAAATAATAATAAACATTAGTTTAGCACTGCCTAGTGCTAGGCTTTGTACTCTACACTTTACCCGTGTCCACTCCTTTGGTCCGCCTGACAACCCTATGGAGTAGGTGCTGTCCTTACCCTCATCTTACAGACCAGGAGACCGAAGCTTCAGTGACTTGCCCCAAGGTCATCGCAGAGCTGAGTTTTGAACTTTTTCAGTTGGCTTCAGGCTAGGGACCGCTACCCGCATAGAGCCTCTACACAGTGCCTGCGGTTCACTGGAGAGCTGGTGCTATAGGTGTGGGAAAAGGATAAGGGAATGGGAAGATAAAGAAGTGAATGTAGAGGGAGATCCAAATAGCCCCAGAGAAAAGAAACAGTTTCCCATGGTGGGAAGCACTGCAGAGAAGGTCTCAGGTACCACCATGTCCTACCCTCGCCATGGCTCTGTACCCTCACAGAAGCTTAGGCTTTCGTACATTAAGTTCATTACCTAAGGGAAGATTTCAGGGATAAAACTAAAAAACAGAGTTGATAGAAGTAAATAATCAGAAAAAACGTAGCCTGCCAGATACATTGTACAATGCATTTCTTTGAAAAACTAGCAATTTAGAGAAGTGAAATGGACCATGAAAATAATTAAATGGGCTGGGTTTTCTATTTAGAAGGAAGAACTCTGTAAGTTATTTAAGGTACCTCATGATCAGATCCAGCTTCTCTCTTACCACTTCCTTCCAGGGAAATGAAATGAAACAATTCCCTGTTCCCAAAGCCACCCTACCACCCCATCATGTGTCCATGCACAAATTCTATTTTCAAAGCATAGAACTTATCCCCAGTTTGCCTTTCTAAATGCTCTCCACTGGTCTCCAGCTTGCTGTCACCCAGGAGGCTGACCTGCGTGGCATGGGTCAACAGGCTCCCATCCCTTTGGCTTCTGATTGGGTTCAGCCAGTGGGAGTCCCAGCAGGTGACCAGATGAGAGGATGTGAAGTCGGGACACTTTGTCCCCTAGTGTCTTCCCTGTGAGGCCATCTGGGCTGACTGTCTGTCTCTCTTGACTAAAGGTCTTTGCTCCTCATACAGCAGCGTTCTCATAGGACTCCTGTAGGTTTCAAAACCACTCCTTCTGGGGCGCCTGGGTGGCTCAGTGGGTTAAGCCTCTGCTTTCGGCTCAGGTCATAATCTCAGGGTCCTGGGATCAAGCCCCACATCGGGCTCTCTGCTCAGCAGGGAGCCTGCTTCCTCCTCCCTCTCTCTGCCTGCCGCTCTGACTACTTATGATCTCTGTCTGTCAAATAAATAAATAAAATCTTTAAAAAAAAAAAAACTAACTCTGCTAAAAAACAAAAAAACAAAAAACCACTCCTCCTTGGCTCTTTGGGCCTAGAGGTCATAATGGCTTAACTCTTTATAACCCTGGGGGATTGTATCATTTGTAGTTCCCCTTCCCCCTTCTGTTAAGCAGACCCTTTGTTAAAACTGCCCTAAAGTCATCCTCATGGGATTGTGTGATCTTCAGGAGTCTCACAGAGTTTTCCATTATGAAACCTTCTCTTCACTGACCTATCACAACACTTGGTTTTTATCCCTTTGAAGGTATTTTTCTTCTGCAAATTATAGTCCTTGCAGACATGTTTTAGGGCTGACCACTGGAATCACTCCATGAATGTTAAAAGAATGGCTGAATGGCAAGGACCCAAACGAGAATATTACTGTATCATTTAAGTTTCTCTTACACCTGCTGGTCTAATACTGCTATTTTAACCTTAAAAGCAAAGTTCTTTCATGTCAGGGGAGAAGTGTACTTTATTTCTGAATTACCAAATTGTTCTAGTGCCTGCAGTGCTAGAACTCCCCTTCCTCCACAACCTCTCTTCCACTCTTGCTGGGAATGCAAGCTGGTGCAGCCACTTTGGAGAAAAGTGTAGAGGTTCCTCAAAAAGTTAAAAATAGAGCTGCCTTATGACCCAGCAATTGCACTACTGGGTATTTACCCCAAAGATACAGAGGTAGTGAAAAGAAGGGGTACATGCTCCCCAATGTTCATAGCACCCATGTCAAAGACGGCTAAACTATGGAAGGAGCCCAGATGTCCTTCCACAGATAAATGGTCCAAGAAGATGTGGTCCATAGACAGGATGGAATATTACTCAGCCATCAGAAAGGATTAATACCCAGTTTTTACATCAACATGGATGGAACTGGAGGAGATTACGCTGAGTGAAATAAATCAAGCAGAGAAAGTCAGTTATCATATGGTTTCACTTAATTTGTGGAACATAAGGAATAGCAGGGAGGACATTAGGAGAAGGAAGGGAAAAATGAAGGAGGGGAAATCAGAGGGGAAGAATTATGAGAGGCTATGGACTCCGAGAAACGACCTGAGAGTTTTAGCGGGGATGGGGATGGGGGGATGGGTGAGCCCAGTGATGGATATTAAGGAGGTCCCATATTGCATGGAGCACTGGCTGTTGTACACAAACAATGAATCATGGAACACTACATCAAACACTAATGATGTACTGTATGGTGACTAACATAACAAAATATAATAAGAAAAGAAAAGAAAAAAAAGAACTCCCCTATCCTTTCCTCCTCCCCCTCACACCAGATAGGAATGGGCTCTGATAGTGTGTCTCACCGTGTGCTGCAGGCCTTTCTCCGTGGAGCCGTCTTCCGGAACTCTTAATGTGGGGGAGTCCATGCAGCTGGAAGTGGATTTTGAGCCGCAGACTGTGGGCAGCCACAGCAAAAGGCTTATCGTGCATTACGACACAGGTATGCGTTCTTCTTTGTTAAAAGTTCTACATGTTAAGAAAGGTCAGATGGAAAATACGGTGAAGCAAAATAGGAAATGGTTCTTTTGGCTGCGTTAAAGTAAGCTAAGATCCATAAGGTGAAGAACCAAAGAATGAATGTCTCCCACAGAAATAATGTTGAGCCAGAAATAAATCCCACCAGACTGGTTTTTCCAATGCTTGAAAGCCTGACAAATAACAGCTCTCAGGAAGGGAACTAAACCCTGAAGTCACACCGGTAGCTTAATTGTATTTATGTAAATGAAACATTATGGTAACTGAATACCCCATGGATTTTCCATTTGATTTATTACTGTAATTGTCTTAAAGTTTAAAAAATGTAAATCCCAGTTCAGAATGTCTCCTGTGTGCTGACCAGTCTACGTAAGATCCACTTGCCTTAATCCTTAGAATGCACATCTTACTTAAATGTGATTCTGTGTCTATTGCTACCAGGATTTTCTGAAGGCTCCAGTCTGTACAATAACGAAAATCATACATTGTTTTTGCTAATATTTAATTGATGGTCATGTAGGCTGCACGTACACTAGGCAAGTCTCCAAAGTTGGTTGTTAGATTAATATTTTACCATTGCATTTATTATTTCATGATTTTTCTCATTTCCTTCTCACTTCTTTTTTACCCATTTGTGTTTATTGACCCAGATTGTCTGCATCAGGAGGGCACTGTAGGCAGAAAACACAAATGCACAACCAGGGAAAGAGCAACAGAGGACATCTGGGTCACAGTTCAGAGTTGCTGCTTTTGTGGACACACCTCTGAGCAGGGCAGCTCTAGTCCATGTTTAAGGACCCGTTGTTAAGTGGTCCAAGTTCCATGTTGCCTGATGGAGCAACGCATACCCAGTGGTACGACCTGTGTATCTTATCTTTCAGTGTAAGTCAGGATTCATTGGCTGCTAGCAAGGCAAACCTAACCCGAACTCCCTTAAGCAAAAAGGGGAGAGTTTTGACCCATAAAACCCAGCAGAGAAAGGTAAAAAGCATAGCTTATAACACATCAGGAACATGAATGTTTCCAAAGTACCTGTGCCATTTTACAGTCCCATCAGCAAAGCACGAGACTTCTGATTGCTTCAGATCTTTGCTGATAAATGCGGTTGTTGTCTTCTTTTTTTTCCTGCTACCATATAGTGTTGTCTTGTTCATTTTGGACCTACTAGTAGTGTGAAGCTATGTCTTCTAGTGGTTTTAGTTTTTATCTAATGATTAATGATGTTGTGGACCTTTTTCTGTGCTTACTGGCCATTCATATATCTTTTTTAATGAAGTGTCTGTTCAAGTCTTTTGCTCATTTTTTATTGAGTTGTTTTTTTCTTTTATTAATTTTAAGAGTACTTTGTAAGTTGGTATTCTGAACACTAATCACTTGTCAGATATATGTATTGTTAATACGTTCTTCCAGTCTGTAGCTTTCCCCTTTTCATTTCCTTCATATTTCTTCAGCAGCAGAAATTTTTAATTTTGATTATGTTGACATTATCAATGTTTTTCCTTTAAGATTAATGCTTTTTGCCTTCTTGCTAGGAAATAATCACCTTCTCAAGGATCACAAACATACTCTATGTTTACTTTTAAAAGAGTAATAGTTCTAGCTTCTTTGTTGAGATTAATGATTGATCTTTGATTTCATATTTGTATGAATATGTGTGAGGTAGGGACTGTGTTTAATCCCCCCCCCCCATGTGGATTCTTGGCTCTTCTCCCTTCTGTAATCTTGTTCTGGAATTCCAATCAGTTACTCTGTTATTCTGTTTCTTAGTCTATTATTATTCTCATTTATTCCTTTTTTAAAAATAAGAGATTAACATTTTTTTTTTTTAAAGATTTTATTTATTTATTTGGCAGAGAGATCACAAGCAGGCAGAGAGGCAGGCAGAGAGAGAGGAGGAAGCAGGCTCCCCTAGACAGCAGAGAGCCCGATGCGGGGCTCGATCCCAGGACTCTGAGATCATGACCTGAGCCGAAGGCAGCGGCTTAACCCACTGAGCCACCCAGGCGCCCCAGAGATTAACATTTTTGAAAAAGATTTATTTGAAAGAGAGAGAGAGAATGTGAAAGCAGGAGTGTTGGCAAAGGAAGAGGGAGAGAATCTCAAGTAGACTCTTCACTGAGTGTGTAGCCCAATGTGGGCCTTGACCCTAGGACCCTGAGATCATGACCTGAGCTGAAACCAAGAGTCAGAAGCTTAACCAACTAACCACCCAGGTGCCCTGATTTTTTATTCCTTTAAACCTCTATTGTACTTTTTCCATTTCTTTGTCTTTGTAGAACTCTGAATACTTTTTTCTTCTCTATTCAGTAATTCCCTCTTCCGTGAAGTCTCATCTGCTGAGTTTTAATTTTTCAATTATAAGTATTTTCATTTCTGAAATTCTATGTGGTTCTTGATTCAATCTGTTCTTCAATCTGATTACTTTCTACTCTTTTATTCTTCAAGGTTCCCTTTTATTTCTTAAGCATGTTAAACATTGTCATTCTCATTCTGTTTCTGAGCATTTAAATACATTAAATCTGTTTATTTAGTTAGTTTGCTTTTTATTAGTTCTGATGGTTTTTAACCACAATATCTGTGGGGGAGGAAGAATATGGTTTTCCTCCACTCTTCTAAGCTTTTGGATGGGCTCCCTGTAGCAAAGAACAGATTAAGAAGAGAAAAATATACACATTTATTTAATGTAAGTTTTCCTTTGATGCATGCAGGCCTAGTCCAGGAAGCCAGAGGGGTTCCTCAAGATCAGCCAAGAAGAAGGTCCTTGGCTTCACTAGGATGGAAATCAAATGCGAGCTCGTAGGAAGTGAGAGCACAGTTTATTGAAGATAAGTAGAGAGCAGATGCGGATGGAGATTCTGGGAGACTCAGAAAGGAAAAGGGGGAGTCTTGTCTTTGTCAGGGTCTGGTATGCATATCCCCTCAGGCATCCAGAAACTGGTTAGAATGAAGGAGACAAAGGCCCAGGTCTTATTCCTTGGAAGGTGGGGGGGCGGCTTGGCCTAGAGATATCTGGAGCCCTGGTCTGGAAAGCGCATATGATGACTTCCTCAGGTCATTCTCACCTGGTTCTTCCTTAGATGTTATCTGTTCTAGAGAAATCATTAACTCCTTGTCCCTTACAAGGAGGATATACTGAGGGATGTGTTAAGTGGGGTGGGGGTACAGGTTCTGGTAAGAACAGAAGCAGGAAAAGGAGCAAAAGCAGATTTTTAGGGAGTCTTTCTCTTTGCCTATCTCCTCAAGGCATGCAAGCTTTCATAAGGAAATAAAGACCTGGAGGAGTGGTTAAATCTGAGTTGTTGTTTTTTTTTTGCTAGGTTTGATGAAGAGTAGAGAACTGTTGAGAGTAGAGAACTGACAAAAGATAGCCTGGGCACTACACTATTTCTTGCAATTTTTCACTTTGATGTTTTTATTTTCTGATAGGGTTAGTGATGGATTTTAAAGTAGTTTAAAAACTATTTTTATCAACTATTTTAGTTATTTCAGTCTCCAGTTTAATTTGCTGCTTAAAACTGACTCTATGTCTTTTTTCACATCATTCAGCATGATTTATGGAGTAGTTCATCCTTTCCTACTGTTCTATAACGCTCTCTATGTAGTATAGTATGAATGTGGTTTATCTCTTACGTATTTAGGTTTTTGCTAATTTCTCTCAGCAGTAGTGTTCTGGGTAGAAGCCTTGACCATTGTGGTTAGGTTTATTCCTTTATAGTCTTATTTTTTATGTTTATTATTTACATATTTATTATGTAATCTTCATTACATTTTTTATTGAGATACAATCTAGATACAATAAGATGCACAGTTCTTTAGTGTACAGTTTGGTGAGTTTTGGCAAGACCTGTGTAATGACCACTCTGTTAAGGATAGAGAACATGCCTGGCTTCAGGGTCCTCTCATGCCCTTTCCAGTCAGTCCCTCCATCCCCGACCTAGACATTCTGCATCCTCTCACCCTATAGTCGTGTTGCTTGTTCTTGGACTTCAAATAAATATGCTCAATAGAGTATATAGTCTCTTGTGTCTGGTTTCTTTCACTCAACTTAATGTTTCGGAGATGTATTCATGTGGTTGTGTGTAGCAAACTCCCTTCTTTACCTGTGAGCAGTATCCCACTGTAGGCTTATCCATGGTTTATTTGTTCTCCTGTTAATGTAACTTTAGTTTGTTTGAAGTTTGGGATTATTATGAATAAAGCTCACATAACCATTCTTGTACAAGTTATGTGTGTGTGTGTGTGTGTGTGTATGTGTTTTAATTTTTTTTCAGGTAAATGTTTAGGGGTAAGGTTGCTGGGTCATAGAGTAGGTATATGTTTTAACTTTCTGAAAAGCTTCCAAACAGTTTTCTAAAGTGGTTGAAGCATTTTAAAGACCAACCACAGCCCCCCCCCACGCCCCACCAAGCCAGGTGGTAGATAGGTCTTCTGGTTACTCCACATTGTTGATCTTTTAATTTTAGGTCATCCTAGCTGCAGAGTTATTATTAGCCAAATATAAACAAAAGCCTATATATTTTGCTTTTTTTTATATTTTGTTTTTAATTGGCATTTCTCCAGTGACTAATGATGTTGAGTATCTTTTCATTTGCTTAGACCATTTTTATGTATTCTATTCTCAAGTGTGTATTCAGAGATTTTGCTTATACTTTAGGAGGTTATTTGTCCTTTTGTTATTGACTCATGGTTGTTTTTTTTTTTTTTTCTTCCCAATACAGGCCTTTCAGAAACAGTTATTGCAAATATCTCCTAAAAGTAGATTATCTTTCTAATTTTCTTACTACTATCTTTTCATTAGCAAAAGAATTTAATTTTGATGAAGTACAGTTTATCACTTCCTTTATAGCTGGAGTGGTATGTTTCTTCTAATTTTATTTTCTAAATTTTGGGGGTATATCAAAAAGGAGCTGTATTTTGTATATTGATCTTTTATACCTTCAAACCTCGATAAATTAACTTATTGAC